TTTCTTCACCACCAGCCCCTAGACGATGAGGCATGAACCATCCCAACAGTCGCGACGTGTTCACCTCAGTGACGCTGCTTTCCTCAGGTTGTACGTCCGTTCTCACTAACGTTTTCCAGGTCATTCCACAACCGTGAACATGAACTCAAGGCCCCTAAGCACCAGCCCCCGCCCCCGCCACTCTGGAAACCCTAGGGACCCCGGGCTTCTGTGTACTCCCTAATTTCGAACACGTGGGGCCCCACGGTACCTGCCCTGTTGCCTGTCTGCTCCACTCGGCATCAGGTTGCCGAGGCTCATCTCATCTACCACGCACCAGAAACCTCATCTGTCTTCCCGGCTGAGTACTATGCTACGGCATGACCACGCCCAGCGCCGTGTGTCAGCCTGTCCTAGGAGGTGACCTGTGCATTGCTGTGATGTCGGGAGCTTGCCACCGGTGTCTCAAACCCCGGCAGGGGCAGGTGGAACTGGACTTGAAACAGAGAAGACCAGAAAGATGTTGACTCGTGCTTTACTGACTGTGCAAAGCCATCCGACTGTGTGGGCCGTAACAAATGATGGATAACATTGCAAAGAACAGGAACATTCCAGGCCGCTTCACTGTGCGCATAACTCCACTCCCAGTGCCGGCTCAGAGAGGCCTGCGGTGGCCACAGCCGCCGGCCAGCGGGGGGCAGCATTGCCTGCAGCCCGAACTCCGAGGGACACACTGGGGGCCAGTGGCCATGAATCTTGGCTGCTCCTCGGCCCCCCTGTCTTCCTCCCTGGGGAAATAATAACAACAACACGTGGGGATCGTGAGGGACTCACTGGGCTGCTGTAGGGGCCGCTGGGGACACAGGGGCCTCCAACTGCCGCCTGGGAGGGGACAGGGGTCCCGCTGCTCAGCCTGACGCACAGCTCCGATGCTGGGGGTGTCGCTGCCTCACGGGTGACCGCCCAGGGGAGCCTGTGCTCAGGGCCAGGAGGAAGCTCAGTGTCCGCCAGCTGGCCCCTCCGCCT